GAAAAGATTTTTTCCGGATTGTGAGAAAAGGAGAATGTTTTGAAAAGTCTCAGAATTTGAGTGGAGAAGCTCTCTGACAAGATGCAGGAGAATAAAAATCTCAATTATAGAAGTGGAAACGTGTCTTTATTTTTTTTTTTTCTTCTAGATTAATACAATAAAAGTATTACTTACCTGTTGTATTTTGAAATGTGTTAATACATTTTATGGATGTATTTAAGAAAAAAAGTGCAATACTGTTAAAATATTCATATAATAGAAAGCATTTCACAATAAAAATCTCTGAACGTCACTGATGAAATGGAATCCGTTTCTTGGGGGAGCGTGGGGAAGGCAGTTAAGATTATCTTTAGCTGTTTGCATAAAAGGATTTAACTGGACTACGTAAAGTAGTCACGTGTCTTTTGTAAATAATTTTTGGTGTTTTTGAAGAAGAACAATCTCTTTCTGAAGACTGTTCTGCAAGCAGCAGGTTGTCATGGAAAGTATTTCCTAAATGCGTCTGAAATTTGTGTGTTTTTCTTCTAAGCTTCACAATGAGGATGATCCCCCAGAGTCTTCAGCAGCTGAGCAGCCTTCCACGTCTACAGAGACTACGCAGAGTCCCCAGACAGCCGCCTTACCCGAAGCAGATACTTCCCCTCCACCTTACTGTAGCATAGCTGTAGAAGCAGCTGCAACCTCAGGTATTTCTCTTACATAACAGCCTGTCAGGGAGGAGTGTGTGTGAATCAGCACTTAGTTCGCAGTGGTACAATGCTGTGGTGTTCTGCTGGTTTTTTTTTTCCTACGCACAAAATTGCAGAAAAAAAAAAAATCTGTGCTCTCACGCACAGCCCTTTGTCTGGTTTGTTCAGAGGGCGTGCGCCTCTAAATTACACTGATTGTTCCAAATTACTAGACTAAATGGTCGTTCATTAATTAGTGTAATAGGTTTTATTTAAGTCTGTATGTAGTTCAGTTCCACATTTAGTCTACATCTTTGAGTAGTGCTCCATCGTTAGACTTCACTAGCAATTTTCATTGCTTCTTTATTGAAACACAAAACCAAAAACCCCTCACAGCACTGATTTGTTAAAACTTAAACTTTTGAAGTGTGTGCTATTGTTTGGTGAAAATATTGCCATGAAATGATTATTTTGTTTTAAAGGCTATTGATAAAATTTCTTGCGGAAAATGAGTAACAGTAGACTTTTTCTCCATCTATGCACTGCTCCCTTTCTCATGAGGTGGTGACTTTTCTTTGTGGTGTGGGAGACTTAACAGCAGACAACGCTGAAGTCCCTGTTTAAGCAAAGCTGCTTGGATTTGCAGCTCCCATATGCCAGAAAATATTACAGAATTAATCATAGAATTGCAGAATGGTTTGGGTTGGAAGGGACCTTAAAGATCATCTAGTTCCAATCCCCCTGCCATGGGCAGGGACACCTTCCACTAGACCAGGTTGCTCAAAGCCTCATCCAGCCTGGCCTTGAACACTTCCAGGGATGGGGCATCCACAGCTTCTCTGGGCAACCTCTTCCAGTGCTTCACCACCCTCTCCGTGAAGAACTTCTTCCTGATATGTAATCCAAACCCAGTTTCAATTTAAATCCATTACCCCTTGTCCTATCACTACAGGCCCTTGTAAAAAGTCCCCCCCCAGCTTCCTTGCAGGCCCCCTTTAGGTACTGGAAGGCTGCAGTAAGGTCTCCAACATAATTTTTTAAATGTTGATGAAAAGAGTGATTTCCTGTCCCTGTTTTTTGAGACAGTGTTAGCGAGTTTAATACAAAGCTATGCAGAATTATCCCTATATATAACATCTTTGTGGTGGTGTGCTGACAAATCTTTTTACCATGTGACCAGCACTGACAGATCTTTACCACATAAGCACTCTTTTTACAAGCTACTGCTGGCTGTAGGAGGAAGCTCAAGGTCTATTTTAAATAATTTGTATTTGTTTGGTGATGCTTTACTATTTCAGTATATAGGAATGAACTCTATTTGGCCATTTTGGTAGATGGAACATTTTTAAAAGAATGTGGTGAAACTGAAATCTTTGAAAAATGGATTTTCATAGAATAGCTGGAGTTAGGAACAAGGCCATGCTAATAAAAATATAGCATGATTATTACTGGACTTAAGTGTTGATGTTGATAATTAATAGCTTTTTTAAGGATATTCCTGTGCATGTCTTTTATGGTTTGATTAAAAAGCCTTTGGTTGGAATTCCTGGGGATGTAACTCAGCAAATACGATTTTTATTTTGTTCATAAACTTGTTGGTTCCTTGCATCATCTAGGTTAAGATTTCTGCCTGGAGTAGCAACTAAAAGCACCATCAAGTTGTCCACTACTTTAAAATAAATATAAAGGTGTTTTTTTTTTAAACTTAAAAGAAGTTGAAATGCAAGTATCATCAATTTCAGCTTCTGTTGAAAAAACTGTACCTTAAAGCTCAGTGGTTTTGTGCATGTAATATTTAAGTCTTGACATCTTTCTGGCTTAAAAATGTGTAACCTCTTTATTTTGAACAGAAACACACAATGAATTTTATCCTGTACCACCTCCATACAGTGTAGCTACCTCTCTTCCTACTTACGATGAAGCAGAGAAGGCCAAAGCTGCAGCAATGGCAGCTGCTGCAGCAGAAGTTGCCCAACGAGTAAGTGATACCGTTCTGCTTTATTCCAGTCTTTTGAAACATGTGAAGCTAATCCATTTGTTTACACCAATTGGGCCCATATTATGGCCTATTTGTTAAAATAATGGTGGGATGCTCATTTACATTACATAGTTGGGATATCAGGTTTTGTGTAGATAATGTCAGTTAGTTGTAAAGTCCTATGAAAAGTGTATCATATTCACTCTTTTCTGAGGCATAGCTCATGTCTAAACAGCTTTAAAAGCCAAATTTTGCACTGTTTTAATAGTTTAGCCAGTATTTTGTCATCTTTATTTAGGTATTCACTACTAATGTTACTTTGTGGCATTATTGCTGATACTTAGCATTTCAGGTGGTAAAAAAATATATTAATGGACAAAGTAGGCCTTTAGAGAGGAAGGGAAATTCCAACAGTCTGGAAGGGACAAAACCCCAAATAATAGAGGTATAAACAAGCTAAGGTCCCTGTTGTTTTCTCCATTAAAACTAATACTGAAGTTCAAAGAAATGTTCAAAGAAAAACCCTCACACCGTGAGTTAATGGTAAGCAGCAAATTAAGTAGTATGTATATAATCAGTGCTTATCGTTTTGTAAGAATTAACAGATAATACAGTCTTCAAAATAGAAAATTGATGTCTACAATTAGTGTTAAATGTTCGTTTTGTAAGGGAAGATCTTCCTTCCCCTCCCCACCCCGAGTTTTGGAGTGTGGAAATTCTGCTATTTGGTAGTATGACCATAATATAGGATACCCAAATTAGTCTTCAGTGCTTTCCCCGAAAGTCTCCACCTTAAGATCAAATGTCATTGCGTTTGAGATGCATTTAAAATCTTTACTGACCGCAGTCTGCTTGTGACTTGTCACCCAGGGTGAGTCTGTTCTTTCCTTGACTGCTCGGCAGTAATCGCCGTGCACAGCACTCACAGCTGAAGTTAAATCGGGTTTGTGTAACCGCCAGTGAAGGTGTTACCCAAATCTGCAGCAGGGAACCAGGGACATCTGCATGGTTACTTGACAGCATTCTGCTATGATGTGATGATCTCCAGTTGTAACCTTTTAACTGCTTTAACAGTAGCATGGATTTTGTGTCGTCTGTCCTTACTGCTTGTCATATACATAAAACCTTTGCTGAAATATTGGTCTGAATTAGGTCCTTAGTCTGAAATTATGAACCTTTAAACTTACGTGGAGCATTAGCATCCCAAACCTTAACCTTTACAGTACCATTAACAGTCCTGTGATGCTTTAGGTGGGACATGTCTAACTCTCTTGGAAGATTCTTGTTGCTTTTAACTGTGTATGTCTACAGCCCTATGGGGTGAAAGTTTCAGACATACAAGCAATCTTCCTGTCTTCCTTGACCTGAACTTCATGGGGGAAACCTCAGCCAATAAAGTTAAGACAAAAATAAAAATCAGTGGTTTTGCCTTGTCTTAAGCTTTTTTTATTTTGGAGAACTCTCTTACCTGTTCAGGTTATTGTGTCAGAAACATCTTTTGCCCTTCCTTAGAAAATCTGCCTGGTTTTGGGCAAATGAGAACATTTTGTAAAATGAGTTTCGACAGTTGATAGGTGCAGCTTTCAGTTCAGTAAATTTAGTGGAGTTTCTCTTGTCTGAACAAGTTTAGGCTGCTTATAGCTCCGAAGGGGATGGGATGGCAGGTGTGCAGGTGTCGCCAGAGAGCATTCTCAAATATTCTGTATCAGAGCAGGATTACAGGACTAAAAGTAGATACACCTTATGACTGCTCTTGACTGCTGCTGGTGAAAACACTGGAACGGAGAAATAGGAATTTCTGGTGTGCCTTGAAGTAGTTTCATTACACTAGCGTTTGGTTGGAAGGGAAGGAGAAGGCCACTTAATTCATCTGCAAGGGCATCAATCCTAGGTGGAGGGAAGAAGGACAACAGCTCTGAGGCTCTGAAGCTTACGTGTTGTAGGAAGAGAGGACTGGTTTTGGCTGGGCAAGGAGGTAACTGGCTCCAAGTGAACACAGGCAGGCATCAGAGAAGGTGGGTCTAAGAATGAAAAGCAGCAAGTGGGAATGGAGAGCAGTGCTGTGGAGCAAGTACAGAGATTTAAACAAGAAACAGGAGGGAGAAGGATAAGCTGGGTTTGGTGGAGAAGGAACCCAAGTGTCTGTGTGAGAAAAGAGGAGTAGGAAGGGAAAAACAATCTGGAGTTAAGAGGTAGGAGGGTAGGATATGGTGAAAAAGTGATAAACTTTTACAGTAGTCTGCTTTTCCAAAACATAATAGAACTTGACATTCAAGAACTAGGTGCTGACACCACAAGCATTTCACTTATGAAAAATCAGTAGGAACACACCACTGTTCTCGCAATACAGAGATTGACTAAAAAGTTGCAGACTTACAGCACTACTTACTCAGTATCCCTAAAAGCCAGTCCTGCTGACTGCTAAAGTTCTCGAGTTTGTTAGAATTTCTGCTCAATTTGCTTCTGTGTGGTTTTTTTCAGGTTTTTTGGGGTTTTGTTTTGGTTTTTAAGCACACACATGCATGCACACAGTGTTAGGGTTGCAAAGTTGAGATTTGGGGAAAAAGTAGGCGATGCTGAAGTTGAATTCCTGTTTTGTATACAACATTAAAATTACGTGCCAGCACAGTTTTAATTACTGCCATTTTAATTACCATGTGATACTGCCACAAAATCTCTTCTGTATTTAATACCTCTGATGAACTTACACTGGGGTGTATTAAGACTGCAATAAAACTGTCTTAATCTGGCAGATGACAGGAATAAGGAAAAAAAAAATGGTGTTATGGTTAGAGTGGTGATTAGCCATCTTGAGGGGAAGGATTTTGATCCTTAGCTCTGAACCATATAGAATCAGTCACAGAATGGTTTGGGTTGGAAGGGACCTTAAAGATCATCAAGTTCCAACCCCCCTACCATGGGCATACCCATTCCATGCCGTGGCAATACCCATCGAAGAGCAGATAAGTGACTTAAACTTTGCACTACTGGTTTGTAGTTAATTGGTTTTGCACTTTCCCTGCCTTCGAAAGTGTCACTGCAAAAAGCAGTGACAGCTGTGGACAGTGTCTGACTTGTGTATTTCACGCTTTGCAAAACATACAGAAACAATGTAACATAGGGTTTTTTTCAGGTTTTATTTTCAGCCTTATGAAATTAGTGCTCTTAGGAATGTAAACTCTGCCATGATCCATGTCTCTCTCGTCTTCCTTGTAAAAAGAGGATATATTGCCTCTTCACTACAATAATGTGGACAATTGGAAAAAACTACATCTCCATATGTGATCTTGAGTGATACATGAAGCTGATAATTGGTTGGTAGTATAGTCCTAAGTGTGCAGTAAAGAAGGCTGCAAACGTATTGGTTGAACGGAAGAGGGGAAAATGGTATAAAAAAGCAGCACAATCACTAAAGAACTTCCATCCTTTTTTTTTTTTCTCTCCTGAATTGAGGGAAAGACATTAGTGTCATCAAAGACTTTGTTATAGGCCCTGCATCCACAGATTGTGTGAACAATCTAAACTTAAAATTTACTGAAACTTTCAGTACTTATTTTTGTAGTCCTCTGCGTAGTTTGCCTTACAAGAATACATTCTGCATGAACATTTCTTTCTCTCAAATGCTCCCAGATAGCTCAGTGTGTCAAAGAAATTGTAGCAGCCTTATGTCATCAGTTGTGATAATCATGAGTTACCCTGACTTTTGATGTTTTCCTTTTCAAATTCTCAAGATCAGTTTTGAAAGGTTGATTTAAATGGGCAAAAATACTGGTAACAGTTAAATGACTTGTTTGTATGTTGCAATGAATGGCTTTTACTTAATGCTTTTCAGTTGCATCTGTCTTATGTTTTTCTGTTTTTACATGCTTAGCACGCCCAGTTTAGGGAGTCTAGGAGTCTGTTTGATGAAATATTCCTCAGTCGTCCAGAGGTATGGTATAGTTCTCTCTAGTTTAGACTTTAACTGTGAATTTTCCTGCAGGCAAACGCGTGCTTCTGGGATTCCTTGTGCCTTTTTTCCCACCACCATTAACTTCTCTACATTATTTTGTATGCTGCACATATGTTTTATTTTTTAACTAATTTGACCTTTTCCTCAGAAGTTTTTCTCTGTAAATCCACTGCATTGAGAAAAGATGTATCAGTTTAGTTATCCAAGGAGTTCCTGAAAACTCTGGTTGTTTACTTGATTAAAGGTGGTGGTCTCACTATATGCCATGCTGGGTTTCAATTTGCAAGCAGTTAAAAAGCACTGGGGTGGAGGGAAAACAGCCCTGTCTTCACAGAATGCTACAGAGAGCGCTGTCGTTTCAGGGACGTTGGTAGATTCAACTTCAGTAGATGTCGTGTACTATTTGATGTCCTTTTGCTTAGAGAAACTACTCTGTGTGACATGCCATTTATGTTAATAATATATTCTGCCATTTAGCTGTTTCTTTGCTCATAGGAACAGTAAGTTTTCTGTTTATTACAGATGTTGGGATATTTAGCAAACAAGAAGTATTGTCCATGATCCTTAACGTGGCTAAATTTGTCAAAAATCAATATGAGATACTGAAACAACATTACATATTTTATGGATTTGTGTGTGTTATATGACATTCTTGTCATTAAAAAGAAAAAAATGTAAATAAAATACATTATTATTCCCATTGATTAGAACATCAGTATCTAACAGAAATACTGTTACGACATTGTATTTAGTTATAAGCACCAGCAGAGGGGACAGTTATTCTGAACTGTCCCTTTTCTTTCTTCAGTGAATGATGCCAAACAGTTCTGTTCTGAAGGAAGACTGGGGCAGTTGACACCAACTCAATCAAATGAGAGCACTGTGAAAGACAGCTGATATTAGTGGGGCTTGAGCAGTGGCCAATTAGTGCTTTCTGTCTGCAGGACTGATCATAACAGCCACACAATACTAAATGATGTAGATAGAGGCTGAACATGATTTAAGAGCAGGAAACCATTCCATTTCTTAAGCTTCCTGATAATTTTCATATTCCAGTTCTTGGAAACAGTGCTTGGTTTAATACAATTGCTTTTTGACATGGAATGTGATAAATTACAACTTGTTCACACTTATTTCAACAGTGCCTGCTTGCAAATGTCTGCCCTCATGTCACTGTGTTTCTCACATATGTAAGCCTTGGAGAAGCCTGTGCATATAGAGGAACCTGCTAAACTTGTTATTTTAGTTGAGCAAAATTTTTCTTTTTCTGAAGCAACATTTTGCATCGAGCGTAATTCACTAACCGCCTTGGAAATGCCAGTATGAAGTACAGTAGGTAGCAGACAGTTTTAAAAAAGACTCCAAAACTTATTTTATGTGGGGTTTTATAGACCTTCTGAAGTTAACATGAAAAATATTTTTTGTTGTCATGACTTGTAAAAGGAACTTTTGTGGCACACTTTTCAAACATAAGCACATTCAAATGTAACTCTTTGGTAAATGGATTTTCAGCCCTTGTTTTCTTCTCCCCACCCCATCAGTCTTGTAGCAGCAGCAAAGGTTGAGCTAAATAAACTAATGCTTTCGTAGTCACTGAAATCATGTAGAGTTGAATGATAGCGTCTGAAGATTGTTGTTCAGCTAGCTTTTTACTCTTTCCTGAGCTCTGTCTATGTGAATAGCAGCTTTTTTGAAATAATTTATCTGATAAAGAGTCCTGGTTAATTAATCTGAAATGAACTAGCGCAGCTGGAATGTCATGGCCGTATTATGCAGGGTGTCGCTGGCTGCCTTGAGTTGGCACAGTGTGTTCCAGCACATTTTTAACCATAATCGCTATACCCTGGTAAATTATTTTGCTGGGTTGAGGTGAACATGTCAGTCCCATGGCAGAGCTTTAGATTCCTTTGATTGTTTAATGCCCTTCTAGTTGTCAGCTTACTGCACAAAATAACATTTGGTACAGCGACTGAATAGTACGTTAAAATCATAAGTACAGTCCCATGACAGAGCTTTAGATTCCTTTGTTTAATGCCCTTCTAGTTGTCAGCTTACTGCACAAAATAACATTTGGTACAGCGACTGAATAGTACGTTAAAATCATAAGTACATTACTTCAGCATTAAGTGTTTGCTGTGGGTGAAACAGCTAAGTAAATCTCACTTGAACTAATTTTAATTTCCCTTGTTTTCACTTGGTTTTTTGATAAGTCGTTTCTCATCTCAATTCTAATACATTACGATTAATTGGAAAAAAAATAGGAGAAGAATGTAACTAATGCTTATGTCTAAACCATGTTACTGCTGCTACTGACAGCGTTAGCTATTTTGTATCATCCTGCATTTTTTGAGGTTATTTGTTTAAGAATAAAAATGGGGTGTTTGGCTGGTTTCCATCAGGCTCTCTTTAGTAAGTGCTGTCGTCATGAAAACTGTTAAGTTTCCCAGTCTACAGTTGCAGCAACGTTCTACTTCTTCACAGAACTGCCTACGTAAGATCTGCCAAGTTCTGTTGAAGATCAAGTACTGAGAAACAAAATAAACTTATACTTTCTGTATCTTGAAATCCAGTATTTAGCACGATGGGAGAAGAAATCGTTGGATTGTGTTGAGTAACATCTCTGTTTACTTGTGTTTGACTTAAAAGTATAGTGCTTTTAGAGTTTTTTAAACCCTTTTAATGTGCTCATGCCCTCTAGTCTTCCCAGAGGTTTTCTTTGCTTTGCATAGTTTGCGGTGGGTTATAGGGTAGTCACATTGGTTAGTGCAGGGCTGTTGCATCAGCAATTTAAGATATTAACTTTATTCTAAAACTTAATTCTGTATTTTGGAAAGCATTAAAAGACTTTTCTGGCAGGAAAAAAATAGGGCGTACTGTGTAATGACTTTCCCAAAAAATATCTAATAACTTGGCTGCATATGAAGATAGCTACAGTAAAAAAAGAGATTTCCATTGGTTTTGATTGTCAAAGTACTCATCTGAAATAATTTCTAGCTTCATTTAAGATGAATAGGCAGTATGTACATATCTTCTATAGAAACTTTCACAGAAAACATGGACTCTGTCAATATAAGTAACAAAGAAGAGCTGTTTTATAGATATGAATTGTTTTTCTTAGAAAATTCCTTGATGTGGACGTGTTAAAGAAATGTCAATTTTCTTCCAGCTTTAAAAACATAATTAATACTTTAATCCTACAGATAGTTATTCTAAAATAAACTTTTCACTAAATTATCACTAACCTGTAAATCCAGGAAGAAGAGTATCCACCACGGGATGATTTCAGTGATGCAGATCAGCTTAGAGTGGGCAATGATGGCATCTTCATGTTGGCATTTTTCAGTAAGTTATCTTGTATCCCAGACCTACTGAGGTGTATCTTAATTGTACCATTTTTCTGTGGAATATAAAAGATAGCTGTGATAAATTGCATTAATGTATTTTAATGAATGGATTTCTTTACTTGTACAGAGATATAAATAATTCCTGTTCCAGATGTAGCAGATACGTTGCACTTGCTTTTTCTGTGGCATCTGTCACAGATGGAGGACAGAGCAAAATCATAGTAAATGTTTTGAGGCGTAGCAAGACTGCACTGTTACCTGTGAATTGGGAAATTCTGTCATCTTTTAGTTGGAATACCAACTTGAATTAAAGGCCGGATCACAGAAATCTCTGAATTGATTTTGAAGTAGAAAATGTTTGAGAGAGAGCGCTGATGTGCCATGTAAAAGTTGCTGATGTTCGCTTAGTGAATTAAATAGCTGCAGGTGGGTTTTCGGAAGAAATCCAGCCATGCTCATTTTCAGGTTGAACTAACCATGAGCATATACAAATGTACTGTCTACAGATAACGTCTGAGGGCAACCAGCACTACTACAGCACTTTGAGTACTGTGTGTGCACGCTCTGCATCTCTTGTAACTTATGTACTGTGCTGATTTAGCCACTATAGATTACTTCTAGAAAGAGGCTGCTTCTGTTTTGCCAATTGCATATTTCTTTCTAATTTCTGAGGCTGTTTTCCCTTTCTTAAATAAACCTGTTTATCAACCTGGATGGAAGCTTGGTGTCAGAGATGCAGCTGTTCTTTTTAGCATTTATGAGAATGAAAGCTGATTGATTATCTACTGTAACCTCCTTTATGTCCTTCAACCTAGATCTCATCTTGGTTCTTTTTTCCTTAATATCCTTCACAGTCTCTTTAACTGTTACAGATGCAGGTTAAAGAACTTCCATAGAAGTTTTTGTCATGTTGGCATACAGTGTACTAGGACAATGTGGTGTTTGCACCTTGGGATACAAATCTATGTGTCTACCTCACATAGCAAATATATAAATGCATATATAGCGATAACGAAGTGAGCTTTGTAGTCTGACTTCTTTCTGTAGTTGGACCACAGAAAGGGTATATATTTTTGGGGCCAGAGAAGAGTATGGCTTAATTTTTTTTCCCCTTTTTTCCCCTTCCCTATTTGCTATAGGTTTTTGTATTTAATCTATTTAGGTTCTGTATTGTGTGAACTTCTTCTTGCTTTTAAATCCTGATTCAGGCTTTTATGAGCCCTGCACTTGGAAGTCAAGTGGATTGTTGGCTCTAGTATGTTTTAAGTCCTTAAAATCACAGCTGAAAACAGACTTGTTAGCTTGCAGCTAGGAGCACAGCAGTAGTAAAAAATCCTGCTATCCAGAACCTCAACTGGAATCAAAGGCTCCGATGATACTCCCATGCAGCTGGCTAAAGCTTCATGCCCAGAACCTTGTGTCCACCTTCAAGAATGCAGACATCTACTTGAGTAAACTGCCAGCTTTCTCTTCAAACAGCTGTTTAGCCGAGACTGACTGCACAGAGCACTGCTTTTACACATTTGACAAACACACTCTGTCGATGGTGATTTTTCTTGGTTATTCTGACACTACGTTACTGCCAACTTTGCTCGTCTGTGAAGGAAATGCATGAGTGCTTACACATTGTAAGATATTTATGCAAGTGTAAGCTTAATTGGTGTCTGTGTTGGTTGTTATGGATGCAAGTTACATATGAAAATCGATGAAGTTTACTTGTTTGTGTTCATAGTATGTGGGGTTCACAAAAACTCATAGCATTTATAGACCTGTAATATTAATTTTCAGTAGTTTTTCTTAGGGAAATTGGAGAACTAAATTTAAAATGAGTTTTACTTAATAAGGGTAGATTGTAAATCATGGGTGATGTATTCCTGTCCTTCTAATAAGCACATAAAAGTCTCCATAAAGTTGATGTATGTATATTTAAGAGAGCAGGAACTAAAAATGAAATTTACAATATGGCTGTCTTTTAGGGTTGTCTTTTTTACGGTGTGGAATATGTTTAAACACTGCAAGTAGATCGGCATATCACAGAGAGCCTAGAATAAGTTCCCTCACTTAGTTAAAATGCAGAACAGCAGCAGAAACGGTCTCTACTGGGAACGAATGGCTTGTTCCAGATGTGCTTTCCAGCCTCCTCCCATGACTCTCAGGTACAGCACTGGGAGAAAGATCTTGGAGCAGGATGTGTATGTGCCTGCTTTTCTTTTAAATATAAAACAGTGAAGTTAGCTTTTAAGATTTCATGTTATTCAACTGAAGTATAATAAACTCTACACTCATTTTACCAGCACATTGCAATCAACTAGTGATACGTAGCTACCATCTAGTGGTAGCGGCCCAAGTTGCATAAAATTGCTTGTCTTGAGGCCATCTAGTGGCCACACCTGGTTTTGGTGGGGTTTTTTTTTGTGCTTGGTGCAAGTTCAAAACCTGTTTTCCATCTAAGTTATAAAGCACAGTTCTGTTTAGGATAGCTGCAGAGAGAGAGACAATAGGCTCTAAAGAGTAAAAGCCCTTTTTGTGAGCAGGTGGATTTTTTGCTTTAGTACTTGATTCTTAGTGGAAACTTAGTGGAAAAAATGGGAAAGCAACCCATTTTATTTCTAATATATGGTAAAATCATATGTTTTAAGAAATCGGTGTTGCTTTTGAAATCTGTGATTATGTGGTGAGTGGAGAATCTGCTCTCTAATGGTCAGGGCTGGTGTTTATCAGTCCTAATTTTGAGGTAAATGAATATATTAGTGAATATATTCATTTATTAGTGAATATTATATTATATTCAGATTATATATGTAGATTATATTCATTCATATTAGTGAATATATTAGTTTTACTATGAATGTGCTGTTTCTTTCAATTCTGAACACAGCGGGAGTTGTGATAGAGCAAGTAACTGTCATAACCTACAGGGTCATCTGCCCACAGTGGAAGTATTTTGGTTCATGTTTGATTGGCTCATCTTCATTATGTGAAGGATGTCATTTTGGGCAGTAATAAAAAGCTTATATGGTTTTCATTTATATATGCTTCATAAATATCCACCAGCCTTTCCACCTGTGTGCCCCAGCATGAATTGTGGAGCTCATATGGATTTTTCATAACCATGGGAATTTTGTGTTATCCCTACAATGTAGGAAAAATGAATATTAATTTGAACTTCACAGATGCGTTAATAAGGAGGAAGAAATGGAGAAAAGTGTTCAGTCACACAGCCAAACTTGAAATTCTCATATAGAGATCTGATTTGTTCTTTTTGAACAACATCTGGGCGATTTAGACGCTGTGTACAACTTACATCAACCAAATCTCATGATGTGGAGAAATGTAAACATACGTGTTGTCCCAGGTGCTATGTTGGAACAGATAGTAACCACACCAAAATTTTGTAAACTAATGTTCATACAGTTTTCAAAACTATTAGGTGCTTCAGACAGTCAATAAACTGCACACAAGCTAGGATACCTACGTAGGGGGTTTCAAGTGGGCAGAAGTTGGATGGCAGAGTTGTAGCACAAACTCAAGGCTTCCTGTCTTATGCTTCCCAAGAAGTGGTAAGCATGGTCTAAATTTCTGGTGGCAGGATTCTTCTGTGTGAACTTAGGAAACCTGGCTTCTGTATGTCCACATCACAAATGTTACGCAGGTTTCCCATAGTCATGCAAGAGAAGCAGAGGGGAAGTCATTTGACTGAAATTGCAGATGTTGTAAGGAGATAAAGGAACTGTTTTGGGAGTGCTTGTTTCTCTCTGATACTGAGAGGAGCCTGGCTGAGCTTCATACACAATCACCTTACTTCTTTCTTTTTACAGAGAGAATTTGTCTTACATGGTTTTTCCATACGTGTTGGATGTAATACAAAGTAATTGGAATGAGGAAACTTCCAGCTGGGCATTACACAAAATTTACCATCAAGGGTAATGAAGCAGTAGAAATAAATTGCCTAGGAAAGTTTTTCAGCATTTTCTACGCAGTGACGAAAAATAATTGTCTGTTGAAGCTGATAGCAAATGCTTCTAGTGATCATCATCACACTTCAGGTGTGCCATTCAGGAAGGAGCAAAAATGTGTCCCAGTTCACAAATGGAATAAATTCTGTGCAGGAATGGGAAGAATAATTTCTAGTGGTACTTGAAGATCTGGAAAGTTTTATTTATTGCAGTGTGCCTAGTAAGCGTAGGCCAGGTATGAAACATCAGAGTTTAGTGTTTGCTCTATATTAAAATAATGTCATTGGGCAAACAAATTGGGGAATACAGGATGTAACTGAACATGGTTGCTTTTGTATATATAGCTGCCATTATAATCTTACCACAAGCTTGAGTCATGGTTAAAATTTGGAACCAACATGGGTCTTCAGACCAGTTTTGCTGGCTTCTTTTCATGATCATAGAATCATAGAGTCATAGAATGGTTTGGGTTGGAAGGGACCTTAAAGACCATCTAGTTCCAACCCCCCTGCCATGGGCAGGGACACCTTGCACTAGACCCGGTTGCTCAAAGCCACATCCAACCTGGCCTTGAACACTTCCAGGGATGGGGCATCCACAACATCTCTGGGCAACCTGTTCCAGTGCCTCACCACCCTCTCTGTGAAGAATTTCTTCCTGACATCTAATCTAAACCTCCCTGATTTCAATTTGTACCCATTACCCCTTGTCCTATCACTACAGGCTCTTGTAAAAAGTCCTCTCCCAGCACCCTTTTAGGCCCCCTTCAGATACTGGAAAGCTGCAATGAGGTCTCCTCGGAGCCTCCTCTTCTCCATGATACTTAATCTCCTCGATGATACTTAATCACTCGTCTTAAGTTTATATTAATGTGTAGCTGTGGAAAGCTACATAAAAAAGATTAGCAGGTGAAATACAAGAACAACTGAGGGAAAAGCAGATTTGTTCTAGTATGCTTGTCATTATTGTTGTGTCTTTTGATCTGTTGGAATGTATGCAACTCAACGTTTGCACAAGATTGCTTAACTTGAAAACCTAAGTT